CAACTCATTTCTTATTAATATATGTGCGATTCTCAATTCAAAAAGTCACATGGTAATAGTGAATTCACTGATTTACCTTACAGTGAGCATGCCTTTATTTTGTCGGTATATGCAGATGGATTGTCAAGTCATGTGACTTGGTGCATAATATTTCCTTTTTTCTGGTTTTTCATTCTACTGACAACTCATACCTTGTTCGTTTATGTGGAATTGTCATGCAGGGCCATATTTCTAAAGCTGTTCATAACCAACTATATAAACGACTAAAGGTGAAGACACAACCTTACAACTCATTTCGCCCTACGAAATTATCATTCATTTGTTTTAAAAAATTAGCATGGCTACATGGTTCATGGGAGGGAGTGGGAATCGCAGAGGTGGTAGGAACTTGCAAAGGGGTGACAGTTCACGACGAGGAGGGGGAAGGGGAAGTGGCGATGCTGAAGATGAAACACCATTTGCTTCGTTAGATTCCTCTTGTGCTTATCATGATAGTTTGGGAAGCAACATTTTTGTATGCCCAAAGTACTATCCGTAGATCCATGTGGTTTGTGGAAGAACCATCAGATAATCAACAGGATATGTTTAGCCAAAAGCTAGAGTCGTGAGTGCCCCCGCACTATTATAGAGCGAGTCCAAATGAGAAGATATTAATGTTGGGAAAACTATTGAACGGTGCCCAGAGCACGTTTCTGTTGAGATCAAAGGAAGATCCTGATAATGTTGACCTATGTGAAAGACTACAACGGAGAATTCCTCAAATGAACCATTAGTTAGCCCCGGAATATGCAGCATACATAGTTAATAAGGATGGCCCAGAAGAACAAACAAACCAAATGAGCAGCTATCAAGTGTATATGGAGCGATCCTCAGCTTGTCTCTGATGTGAGCTTTCGGATTGTTTTCAGCTCTGAGCCACCTACATTTAAAGCGCGATATTGTTAGTCTACACTTCGGCTCAATATTAGAGTTATATGAGGCATGTAATATGTAATGTCTGTGTTAGAGTAAAGTTTTGCCGTAATGAGTTGGTCAGATTGTCGGCTTAATATTTGTTGTCTAACTTTATGTTTACTATATATGTGGTGTTCAGTTCATGTGTTCCACAATGTATTGTGTTCAACGACTTATGTTTTACTACTTAAGTACTTTTTGTGGAGACTTATGTGTTTTTTTCCTCAAGTTTATGAAATTACATTATCAGCTTGCTAACCAAAACAAGACAACAGAAAAAGAAAATATTTTACATGAACGACTTTAGTAAAGCTAAACAAAAACTTTGAATAACACATTCTAACCCAAAACAAAGAGAAGAGAAAAAAATAAAAAATAAAAAAATTTACATGAAAATGGCTTTAGTAAAGTGAAAAAAAAAATTTGAATTACATTATCACCTTCTAACCCAAAATAAAGACAAAAGAAAAAATATATATATTTAAATGAAAACAGATTTATTAAAGCCCAAACAATTACTGAATAACACCTTCTAACGCAAAACAAAGAAAATAATTAAAAAAAATTATGCTAAAAGCGCGGTTCATAAAAAAATTTGGCAAAAAATCGTGGTTCTAAAGAGTGAGATGAAATTTTTTTTTCATAAAACGTGGGTTTTGATGAACTCGTGGTTAAAGACAAAAGGAAAGAAAAAAAAATTAATATGAGGACGGTTTTAGTAAAAGAATTTTAACCAAAAAATTATTCTGAAATATATTATCACCAAAACAATGACAACATAAACAAAAGAACGAAAATTTTTTCTTTAAAGTTCAGTAAAATTGAAATAAAAAAAAAATTACGCTAAAAGCACGGTTCATAAAAAAATTTGGCAAAAAACCGTGGTTCTAAAGAGTGAGATGAAATTTTTTTTTCATAAAACGTGGGTTTTGATGAACTCGTGGTTAACGACCAAAGGAAAGAAAAAAAAATTAATATGAGAACGGTTTTAGTAAAAGATTTTAATCAAAAAAATTATTCTGAAATATATTATCACCAAAACAATGACAACATAAACAAAAGAACGAAAATTTTTTCTTTAAAGTTCAGCAAAATTGAAATTAAAAAAAAAAATTACGCTAAAAGCACGGTTCATAAAAAAATTTGGCAAAAAACCGTGGTTCTAAAGAGTGAGATGAATTTTTTTTTTCATAAAACGTTGGTTTTGATGAACTCGTGGTTAAAGACAAAAGGAAAGAAAAAAAAATTAATATGAGAACGGTTTTAGTAAAAGAATTTTAACCAAAAAAATTATTCTGAAATATATTATCACCAAAACAATGACAAAATAAACAAAAGAACGAAAATTTTTCCTTTAAAGTTCAGTAAAATTGAAATTAAAAAAAAAATTACGCTAAAAGCACGGTTCATAAAAAAATTTGGCAAAAAACCGTGGTTCTAAAGAGTTAGATGAAATTTTTTTTTCATAAAACGTGGGTTTTGATGAACTCGTGGTTAAAGACAAAAGGAAAGAAAAAAAAATTAATATGAGAACGGTTTTAGTAAAAGAATTTTAACCAAAAAAATTATTATGAAATATATTATCACCAAGACAATGACAACATAAACAAAAGAACGAAAATTTTTTCTTTAAAGTTCAGTAAAATTGAAATTAAAAAAAAAAATTACGCTAAAAGCACGGTTCATAAAAAAATTTGGCAAAAAACCGTGGTTCTAAAGAGAGATGAAATTTTTTTTTCATAAAACGTGCGTTTTGATGAACTCGTGGTTACAAAGAGCGAGTTTGTTAGAAATTTTTTTTTTGCTAAACTCGTGCTTACAAACAGCGAGTTCACCTTTGTGATAAAATCGTGTTTTCAAAGAGCGATTTCAACAGAATTTTTTTTTTTGCTAAACTCGTGCTTACGAACAGTGATTTCGGATAAACTCGTGCTTGTAAATAGCGAGTTCAAAGGAAAGAAATTTAATCAAACTCGCGTTTTCTAACAACGAGTTCTTAATTAAACTCGCTTTTCCTAACAGCGAGTTTAAACTTTTACTGATTTCAGGCGACGGGGGTGGAAAAGTCTTGAACTCGCGATTGTGAACCGCGAGTTATCTCATTTTGGGAATTCTTTCAAAACTAGGCTTAGTTTGGAAATTCCCTTCTTATTTTGGCTTATTTAGGGAAATGCCCTGAAAACAAGATCTAATTAGGCATTAATTTCAGGACAATAATTATTTAATGAAAAATGATATTTATCAACCTTTTTTGTTTTATTATTTTTGGGTGAATTACACTAATAGTTACTATAATTTAGGACTTGTGTCAATTTAGTTCATGATTTTTCAATTATGACACATTTAACCTTGAATTTTGAATTTTGTTCCAAATAGGGACAATTGGAGATATCATTAGATTTTTCAAGGGTAAAATTGTCGATTTGATAAATATAAACTAATTTGACAAAAATAAATGTCAAACAAATATTTTTGAATTTTTAAAAATTATTTCGACCTACTAAAAATAAAATTATGTAAAATTGATAAATCTTTTAAATATTTATTTTTTTTTTTACCAAATTAATTTTTATTATATGTTTGGATGATAATCATGTAAAATTAATTTAAAAAAATTAACCATGTAATTTTTATTAATTTTTATCAATTTTACATAATTTTATCATTGGTGGATAAAAATAATTTTTAGAAAATTAAAAATATTTTTTTGACATTTATTTTTGTCAAATTAATTTATATTTTATTAAATTGACGATTTTGCCTTTAAAATTAAACAATGGTATGTTTAATTGCCCTTATTTGAAACAAGATTCAAAATTTAAGATCAAATGTATCACAATTGAAAAGTCAGAAACCAAAGTGACACAAATCCCAAACTATAGGGACTATTTATGTAATTTGTCCATTATTTTTTTGTTTTCGTTTTTTTGTTTTTGTTTTTACGTCCTACCTACATAATCCACACAATAAAAGTCATTTCTACTTGCCGTTCCCATTTTGTTGTCTCAATTCACATAAAAGATAAAAATAAATTCAATGATATATAACAAAACTATTTATTTGATAATTTTTTTTGGACTTTGGAGGTTGGATATGGATATGGGCTCATGAAGATCACCTAGCCCAGAAGGATATGCAAATTGGGCTTGAACTGATTTGGGCTTTTATGAAGTCATGCTCACTCATATTTATTTGTTTGCGAATCTTTAATTACTTTGTTGTATTTTTGTGATCAAAGTTAGTCCGTACAAAGTTCAAGATTTTTATTATTATTATAATTTATTTTTGAGTTTATGTAATAAAAATGGAGCAATACTAGGTATCATGAAAAAACTTTCATGAAAATGATCATGAAAGATTTATGACCCTTGAATTACACTTAAAATAAAGCACCACACACTAGTCAAGGTAATCCAAGGGTCATAATTCTTTCATGATCATTTTCATGAAAAAATTTTCATGATCCATAACTTTTCTCATAAAAATGGCACCAAAAAAACTAAAAAATTAGGCTAAAATATCTCAAAATCTAACTTGAAGGCTACACCCAAAGCATCTTGTTTGGCAACAACAAAACAGAATATATATTTTTTAAACTTTTGTGATTTTTTATTTTTTTATTTTTTTAATTTGTGATAATTTTTACTTTCAAGTTGTTCCAGTCCAGAATCTAAAAAGTAATTTAAAAAAAAAATCCAAAAATATTCACTAAATTCTATACTAAAAAAAAAAAAAAAAAAACCAACAATTTTAGTTTTTTTTTTTTTTTTTTAATAAAATTTTTAAGTCCATATAGTCTAGTATAACTTAAAGGTGAGTGTTAAAAAAAAAAAAAAAAATTGAAAATTACTAAAACCAAAAAAGTAGACAAAAAAAAAAATGCGACAAACAATTGCTAAAGCCATTCTAAGTGGGGGTTATACTAAAAAAATATATTACACAAGCACGTAGTGCATACTAACATGTACACAACATGATACAAGCTATAAGCTTAAGCTTAGTTGTAGAAGTGTTCTTTAACTCAACACAGAACAAGCAGTTAAACATTATGCACCAACCATGCAATTCCTTCTTTACAGGGCACCAAAAGTAGTGTAATTCTGCATTCACTAACACATCTGTTACAATCCTCTCAAGCGAGTTATCAATACATCCACTAATAATTTAAAAGAGAAAAGGAAAATATTACAATGAGAGATATAGCTTCAGTTAATCATAAGTTATCTAAAATTACAACGGCAATTCACTTCCTCATTCGCATTGAGCTCTTCAACTGGAACTTGTTGAATTCCCAATAGCTTACTTGCCAATGAGTTTTCGTGTCACCCAGTAGAATGTAAGTCAACTGGTTCAACAAGCCGAGACCTTCGTCTCCTCTTACCTTCAGGGGTGCACCTAATGTTGCCGACCTTTCCTAGTTTTAATGAGAACTTGCAATTCAACTGTGATGACATTGAGGTCGAGGGAGATCCAGAAGCTGACAAATTGACAGCGGCATGTTTCTCTCTTCCTGACTTGTCCTTGTCGCCTTTGATGAATCCTTTCCTTGTGGGAGATTTAGCTCTTTTTTTTGATGATCGGAGCTGCACATCCTGTCGTTTATCGTGGCTAAGGAGCCGCACATAGAAGGGATTCACTGCAGTGTAACAGATGACCTCACCGTCAGCAACATCACCCCTCTCTAGATCCACGTTTCCGTTGTTCACCTGTAAAAATTAATGGGAATTACTTATTTCACCCTGAAAGCAAGCAAGAACTTGAAAATTTGAAGTTTTTACACCAGCCCATATTACATGGACACAGGTCAAACATCGGGTGCAAGTGTGTGTCTAAGTGTCAGACCTTCATAAACCTAAATCTTAAAATATTGGGACATGTATCCAAAAGTTGGATATGAATACAGGGATGTCATGAACACTTATATACATTGCATATCGTATAATATTCTTAAACAAAATGATGTAAATTATGTATAAATGTTTTTGAAATTAAACAAGGATCAGAAAAGATAACAAATTTCTCTCACCCACACAGGCGGCTAGAAATATTTCTTTACTAGAAAATGTAAGGTAACGTTTGGTAGAGCTTTCTAAATATGATTTGAGAATAGGAGTTGTATTTTGATTTTGTTAGTTTTGGAATTATGATTTGAGTGTAGAAAATTTGTTCGGTGAATGAGTTTTGAAAAGAGTTTTGAAAAAAGTATTGAATTGAGTGTGGAATTTTTGATGTGACATGATATTTGATACAAAAAACAAAAACTTACAACTCACAACCAAACACACAACTCAAAATGCTATTAAAGCTCATAAATTTTTTTAAAAAATTCAGAAAATATTTTTTGTTGAATATATAAAAATTAATGTGTCAATTAAAAAAAAAAAAAAATACACTGTTCCGGTCAACTGGTGGGACGTCCGGTGGGACAACCGGTTAGTCCAAATTTTCCCGCCTTTGACCGAGTTTTCAAAAGTGAGCGTGGAATTTATTTTTGAAAGCTACAAACAAACATCATATGCAAATTAAAGGGTGGAACTAAAGTTCCAAAACCCTTCCAAACACAGTCTAAGTTTCTTCTTCAAAAAAAATAGAGGATCCCAACATCTAAATTGGGAATGGGTATTAGACACATCTCACGTTCTTACCCTTATCATATCTGGTGAACACAGGCACCGTAGAAAAAAATAGAAGAGCCCATATAACACAAGTACCAGCAAAACTATAAGTAAATACTATACTGGACCTATACGAAAAAAATGTTCATAGATGTTTATGTGAAAGCTTTAACTAAAAGCTATTCTTCTAAACTAGCATCCCAAGAGGTCCGTGCGAAATAACAAGGCAATTACCATTTGCAGAAGAGCAGAAAAAGTCCGAGCAACATCATGTTTCTCTTGTCCCCTAACGACATCTGCAAATGACATGGCATTTCCACTGTCTGCATCCAGGGACAGCTTCTCCAATATTCTTTCACCATATTCGTGAATATCGAACGGTGGGCGTGAATCCTGTCAAGAAAATGTTAGGATTGATACAAATCCACATGAAAACTGAAATTCAAAATAGTTAGGTTTTGGATGTGTGAGGGAAAAAAAAAAAAAAGAGAAAAAAGAACAAGGAGTAAAAATGATGGCACTTGCTTGCTCTTCCAAGTTATTTTCAATTCTTTGTTTCCATGTTGAGACACGAGCAGCCAACTCAGTCTGTTTCTCAGTTTCAGCAATGCTAGCAAGGAGAGCATCCTAAATTCAGGAACACAGGTTACTAATAAATTAATGCTCCAACAATAATCAAACAAAAGGTAGAGTAGACAAGTTATGCAATATAACAATCAATTTTCATCACATCACATGTCAGAGAAATCTAATCTTACTAGGTGAGATCGACAAAGATCTTCTAGGCTGGCTTGAGAACTTGGATCTTCATGTTCATTGGTTTCAAAACTGACATCGCCATCATCATGCTGCATAAATATCAACAAATGAGCAATGCAACATAAATGCCGATTTTGTTATTGCCAGCTTCATGATGTAAATATATCTAAATATACTAGCAGTCTGCCTAACCTTTTCAGGCTGCAGAGGTACTTCTTCATACTCGTATGCATTCTCTGGCATGTCAAAATCAGGTGGACCAAAATCAAAGCCTCCATTATCATAATCATTGTCATCATTGGGATCACAAAATGATTCACAAGTTTCACGTCCTCCATGAATAAGTGAATTTCTCAACTGTAAATAAAACATCAGGCATCATTTAACAAAAACTAGACCCTTTAAGGAGACAATATTAAACAACCAACAAACCAACCTTTTCATATTTTGAAGGAGATTGGGATTCTTGTTGTCTCTCTGAGGCATGACGCCGTGCTTCCCATATATCATTGAGCTCTGAATTAATGGTACCATGCATTCTTGCGAGAGGGAACTGAATAGCTATGGATATCCGCTTAGTGGAATTAATCCCCTGCCTTCTAAAAGATTTCACTGCTCAGAGGCAGAATAAAGAAGTTGAACAAGATTAAGTGCACAACAAGAAGCAAGGAAAAAAAGTAAGCAAAGAAACAAAAAGCTTGAACAACCTTTTTTAAAAGGTTTTACTCTCAAATTCCCGGGTTCATAGGGATTCAAAGGCTTCCATGGATCATCTTCATCATCCAAGTCTCCAGGCTCTGAATATCTATCATCCATTTCAAATCCATAGTTTTCAGGAATATCACAAGCAGGAGGATCAGGCCCAATATTACAATCTTTAAATTTTAAGCCATGATCAACTGGAGGAGATCGATCAAGATTAACATTCTGATTCTTTCCAGCAGATGACTTGTGGCTAATTCCCCCAGATTGGTTAATGGGAGACAAAAAGCCCTTGCGAGATTTAGAGGCCAGAGAACTGCCTCTGCAGATACCATTCTGCCCTTTACCGGCTTTATCACCCTTAAAATAGTTATTAACTGCTACTGCATCACATGGGTCTAGTAGAATAAAGTCCCGGTAAAGATCATTGGTAGCTAACTGCACCCACAAATAAACTAATAAATAATTTAAATCACAATGATACACACTTCACTGTAATATTGTAAAAAAATGAAGAAAAAGAAAACAAAACAGCACTAGGTACCAGGTAGGATTCTAATTCATTGCCATCACCAGTAACATCTAAGCAATCACCTTCAAGCACAACTAAATTAGCTGGAGGCTTTGCAAAGTGATTCAATTGAGTATCTTTGCAAATTGCACTATCTAGGGAGTTCTTAGCTTCCACTGCAACATAACACAAGTTTTAGCCAAAAAAAAGGCACTCTTAACTCTTTACCAAAAAAACATTGACAGTAACAGGCTACCTGGGACATCATCTAAACCCCAGAACTGATCATTTTCGTCATCAGGTACTGCATGAGAACCATTTTCTTCTGGTTGGACTGATGCACCCTCTGGTTGATCATGCTGCCTGTTCAAATGTTGCACCAAATAAAAATGACTTGAATATGTAGTTCTTCAGTTTATGTTTTACTTCCCTTCTTACCTAACGACACATTTTCCAATTGACCTACATATCATTTACTATCATATTAAGGTTGATTACAGGTGTGGCTGCAGAGATGACTCAAATTTATTATCACACAGATAAGAACAGATTCTTCACGGAATATATCGAGAATACTGCTAGCATTGCTCGCCCCATAACTATTCTGTTCACGCCAACTTTGTTTATGAGGTCAGTGATGTTTAAAAAACACACCTGCCTCAATTGTACGGATTTCTAAGAATAGTTCCAAATGGGTTAGAGAAAACACTCTATTAATGCTTTAATCAGAAAGAGTGATTTGATCCAAGTTGACCAGAAAATTTCCATTCACTACACTAAAGGTGTTCTTTCCCATCTCTGTTCACCATTTGTTTAGAAAATTCATACACTGTACTAGAAATGCAACTTAATTGTACTTTTTCACTCATTCCCATCCAATCAAAAAAGATTTTTGGGTTCAAGGAGGATACACGCGAATTCTCAAAAACAAAATCCACTTGAAGAGCTAACTGAATATTGTTAGAAAGCACTAATAAGAAGAACTTTAAACTTTGATCATGAATTTCAAAAAGACATTTATACCCCACATTTCCCACTAAATATTCAAAATCTTAACTAACAAATGACTACCTAGATAATTGGGATTTGCTACCATGAATTGAGCATTCCGGTCCATTGAATCTATCTCCCTGACTAAGAACAACTAATCCCTTTAATGTGCGATAATTAATCTAAGTTATTCGCCACCCAAATACGAGCAACTTCGATTTTCTGTGAGTTAAGCAGACTCAGATATCATTCTTGTATGTTTCACAAGCTCCTGTAATACTTCCTTTCTACAAAACAACCTTTCGATGTTGTGTACGCAGTGAACACCAAACCTTCACCTCGATAGAAAATCATCCATTTACCTAGTCATACGACCAAATTACCATGTCTTGAAACTTAGAGAATTTGGGTGCCAGATTATTTTTCTATGTGTACATCATTGTCCGGGGGTTAGCACCAGTTATTTCACCTTTCCTAAAGAAGTCATCAAAATTTACCTATTCAATACAGTATACACTTGAATTAGCCATCTAGTCCGTTCTTGATCACTACATCACCTATTAAAATGTCACTATTTCCATCTTTAACCATTTCAATCCAATTCAAAATGAGGAGTTAAATTTTAATTCAAACCTTGCCTTGTGTCCTCAAACTTTCTTTGCCTAGTGTCTAGATCATTTATACAACTCAAATGTGCAGCAAGACTTGACAAGATAGATAAGTGGTCCCACTCATCACAAGATTAAAAAAAAAAAAATCACAGCTTGGAAGTCTAAATTTAAAAAATAAAAATTAAAAGTGGGAAAATCAGAAAAATAACAAAATCAAAAACCAAAATCAACAAATGAACAAAAATGAAGCTAAAAACGAACCTTTTCTGCGAAATGAACTCCAACGCATGTAAAACCAGAGAGTAAAGATATTCAACTTTCCGACTATACACCTGAATCGAACCCTGAAGCAGCAGAGCAGCTACACAAACCCAAAACAAAAAAACAAAAAAACAAAAAAAAAAAGTGTGAATCACAACAAAAATTGATTAAATACAAAATCAAGCTTTAAAAAACCCCCAAAAGATACAAACCCTCGGCGAAATTGACAGAGAAGTGCGCATTGTCATCGCCGGTGATCTCGCCGGAACAAATCTTCAACAGATAATCTTCGAGGTTCTTGGAGAGATCGACGGCCCAATTGGATTGAAGATCGCGAAGTGGTTGAACCGAGTGGAATCGGCCACTGGACTCGGCACCACTGGGTTCTTCTCTTTCGTTATTCATCATCTTCTGCTGAGCAAATCGAACTTTCCATTCCAGTTCTTCTACTCGTAGTTCATCTGAAAACCCTAACCTCTTCTTCGGTTTGAAGTATGAAATCACAATTACTTGAAATTGGGATAGGGTTTCGGAAGCAAACCCTAGAGAGAGAGAGAGAGAGAGAGAGAGAGAGAGTTCAAAAGTTTTGGATTGACCGTTTTCCCGCTCAGAGAAAATGAAGATTTTTTAGTGGGCTTTGGGAGGTGAAGAGTTGGACGAAGCCCAAATGGAAGGTGAGACAAACGGCAGGCCTTAACTAATTGGACCATCCAAGGTGTTCGGCCCTAACAAGGTTTTTTGTTTTTTTGTTTTGTTTTGTTTGTTTGTTTGTTGGTTTGTTTTTTTTGAGGAAATTACAAATCAGTGGTATTTCTACAAAATATTTATAAATTTATGAAAAATTATAATTATTTAAGTTGATAAATTTTTTTACTGCTTTGTATTTTTTTTTTTTAAACTAACACTGAACTGAAATTTCGCCTTTTTTTTTTTTTTTTTTTGGGTATTTGTTTGGTTTTCAAACTCAAACATAGTTTTTGGTTTGTTTGCTATTTTAATGTTGTAAGCAGTGTAAAAAGAGTTTTCATAATGGTGAAAAAAAAGTTAAAAAGTGGTTTAAAATTAGTGAACAGTGTTATGAAATTAATTAAAAATATAGGTTTTAAATTTGTTTTGTCCTTATCTTGCTTCCCTTGAGCACTTGTTAGTAAGATCTTTCTAATACAAAAAAGTGTACAAAAAAATACCCCTAAAAAAATTTATAAAACAATTTTTGTGTTTGGAATTAGACAATTTTCATATAATGAATTTGTTTATTACAGCTTATTCTAAGTTAAGAATTGCTAATTAGAAAGTAAAAGCTAAAATCATTCCGTCTTTAACTTTCAGATAATCAATTTTTTTTGATATTTTTTCATAATCAGAAGTTATTCAACTATAAATTATAATCAACACATGTAAATAGAGCCAATAATAAGTCTTAGTTTTTTAAAAATAAAATAAAATAAAATATGACATGAAATAAAAATGCAGTACATGACAGCACACAAATTTAACAGGAGCAAAATTGACTGTTTTTTTTTTATGCTTGATATTTCTATTAATAAATGAAATGAAAATCAACATTGTTGCAATCTCATAATTTGATGTTTACATAACACACAAACCTGAGACTCAACTGATACAATAATTGGCCGTCTTCATCTTCTACATCACACAACCTCAAAAACAACGAAACAACAAAAACATCATCGCAATGCTATTTATCCAGAAAATTTAAAAATTTCCCATAAGATTCGAGTAATTTTGAGACATAAATTTTCGGGTATTTTTCTTTTTCAAAAACAATGCTCTATGATTAGACATTGACCATGCCGGAAACATATGGTACGCCGGAGGCGGGAATCCAGGCGTCGCCCTCGATGAACTTGGCAGGAGTGAACGAGGCGGCTACGTCAGCTGTAATCTTCTGTTGCATCCCAAGCCATGTCACCCTCTTGGTTTGTACTGCACCCGGTCCTCTGTTGTTAAATTCCGCGTACCAAAGCGTATCGAGGTTGACTGTACCCATCCACGGGGCCCACCCAGTGGGGTCGATGACGTCATCGATTTGCGACTGCATGACGACGGTTCTTGAGTAGTTCTTCCATGGGCGGCCGAGGTATGACTTGAATTGGGCTTTGACGGCCATGTAGGCGGGCTCGGCGGTGATGGTGCAGTTTTGGAGGACAATACCGGAGACTCCACGTTTGTCGGTACGGCCTTGGGCGGTGACCATGCAACTCTGGTTCTCGAGTGGTTTTCGAATCACGAGCTTGCAGTTTTGGAAGACAACAGCAGCGTCACCGAATACAAAGTCAACGGTACCTGAGATGGTGCAATCACGGTAGAACTGACGGTGGGTGTGGGCGTAGAGGGTGTCTTGGTAACCGTCGATTTGACTGTTGTAAATGATCGCACGGTCAGAGGATACACGAAGTGCAACAGCTTGGTGCATTTCACTTCCAGCGCTGTTCTCGATTCCGATGTCCTTTACCATGAAGTGCTCTCCATCAGCCGCTGTACGTTTTTATAATTTTAAAATTTTAGTTTGCATGGTGTTTTGTTGGTAATATAATAATATATTATCATATCAAATAAGGATTATATGATACTTACACACTGTGGCGGTTTTGTAGGTAGCGACACCGCCAACGAAGCTCTTGCTTCCGGTAATCTTGGTCTTGGTTGGTCCATCTCCGATCAAGAAAACATTCCTCATATGCTTTGAAACATTCACTGTCTCCACATAAACACCAGCCTTGATATAAATCACAAAAGTCTCATTGCTCTTCTTGGGCACTTCAGCTAAAGCTGCACTGATAGTCTTGTATTTACCAGATCCATCCTTAGCCACCACCACATTAGGCTTCACAGTCGCTGCAGTGGCCTGAAGCAATTTTCGTTGTCTATCGGCAACCCACGATGGAAATCCATCGGCTCCAACCTCCGTCGACTCCTCAGAAAGTAGGCGGCGGCTCGAGCTAGGGAGGTCATAAGATGTCAAAACTTTGGAAAACTCGGAGATGATGGCTAAGCCGTTGCTGGTAAGTTCGCCAGAGAGCGCTAGGAGTTTTCTCATTTGGGCGCCGGTTTCGCCGGTGGTGTTGTCGAAGCCGTCGAGGCAGGTTTGCTGGTACGTGATGGCGCCAGTGAGCCAGGTTTTGAGGTCGGCCACGTACTCGTTCATTTTGGTGACGTCGAAGTCGCCGACCATTTCAAATGATTTTTGGAGATCATCGATTTGATGAAATCGAGGGTTCCTTGCCATTTTCTCAAGAGGCGGTCGTTCACTCTCGGGTCCTTGGCGGCTTGTTGGAGGAAGGTGGAGTTGTTGATGGCTTCATGGATGTGCTTCACGGTGACATTAAACGCCGCCTTGATCAGCACTTTTGGATCGCTGGTGTTGCCTGTAATAATGAGGCGTTTGGTTTGAGTTGTTTGTATTAAGTTTTTTAAAAATTTAATTTTTTGATTTTCGCGTTTTTGTTTTTATTTTTATTTTTAGCGAATATTATTAAAATTTTAAACATTTTTTTTACTTTTTTAGATGTACCTTACTTAAATATATCTAAAAAAATAAAAAATTATGAAAAAATATTTTAAAAAATTAATAAATACATGAAAACACAAAAAATGTACTGAAGTATTTTTTTTTTTGTATTTTTGGTATTTAGTGAATTTTTAAAGGTTTTTTCACAAATTTTTTATTTTTTAGATATATTTATGTTAGCTATGTCTAAAAAGTAAAAAAATTAATTAAAAAAATTCAGTAAAAAAAAAATAAAAAACGAAAACAAGAAAATAAAAATTTCTGAAAAGTGTTTCTAGAAATTTTGAAACATATGAGAAACTCAAAATAATAAAAGAGTTGAATTAGAGATTGAGAGACGTGTAATCACTATCTTAAAATTATTATCATTTTTCCCATGCGATTGTAGGTTATAAGGTGATTATAGTCTTCTTGTCTAACATTCAAAACCTTGATTGATTTTCTAAATTTCATTTTTATTAAAATTTCAAAACGGTACCTGCGGTGGCGAGGGCTTTCTCGCAAGAATTCTTGTAATCGGTGGGTTGGCAGAGTTGTTGGACCGCCTTTGACGAGGTCGATATTTGGCCATTGTCAGAAGAAGCATCACTGCTGGTGTTGTTGCGGCTAACACTGACGGTCACGGCAACCACCATTGCCACCAGAAGGATGGAAGAAATACCGAGAACGGCGATCTTGTTTGCCATTTTTTGATTTTTTATTTTTTTGTTCTGCAAACTTTTTATCTATACACACCAAGGATGAGGGACAGAAAAAATGGAAATTAAATTTTTTATTAAACAGAGCTCTTGGGGCTTTATTTTTTGAACAAGAGTGTTTTGTGCCCCTTGGGCTCTGGCTTGGAATGTTTGTGACGATGAAGTGGATATTTATATGGATGAAATAGAGATCATGAGTGGCTAAGAAGTATTGTAATGCCATAGGCAAATTTGAGGTTGAGAGTGAAGTTCTCTTAGTTTTACCAAATTTGGAAGGCTTCTAAACAAAATTGGACAATGTCAAAGGTTATCTAAGTTTTGGGGCTTGCACATATGGTTGGGAAAAGTCAAACATCCAATTTTAAAAATAAAAATAAAAAACTAAATTTCTATTTTTACATCACTTTTAAGTGAAAAAACTCAACCACAAATTATATAACATTAGTTTTTGAAATTTATTTTGATGGATATTTTGTTTGAAAATAATAAGTTATTATTAAGTTATAGATCTTACTAATGACAATTTTAAAGACCGTCAATAAAAATCTTTAAATATCAAAAGATTTATAAACTCAAATACATTTTTTATATACCCAAATCATTTTCACATAATTCAATATACTTTTATACACCTTTTATATATTTTTTCAATCCAAGAAACCCTAAGAGCTGTTTTTAGTTTTTTCTTAAGTCACATAATTATTTATAATAGTTTTTGAGGTGATTATTGAGTGGATTTGTAGTAACCATATTATATTTATCACATAGCGTTCTAAATAAATAATTTACCGAACAATTTTACAGATGGAACAATATTCTGATAAGTAGTTGAGAGATAAAAGATAACTCACTTATATGTTTTGCGATTCTTTATTTGTCAGAAGTACAATATAAGTAATGACACATGCATGGTACTCTATATCAATCATTATTTGTTATCTTATGTTATTTATTAAAATACCAAAACAAAAAAAATGAGTTCTATTATATGAATCATATGACACTCCAAAAATTAGGAACATCAGAGAATATATTAACAAATAAATACATGATTTATCTAAGATTACAAAATAGGAAATGCCACTAATGAATCATTTGGTTAATAACCAAGTAAGATCCTAGGAAGGTCGCAGGAGTCAACATAGCCTCCTTTCAAAGTCCAACCACCTTAGATAGCAAAACTACATTTTTGACATATCTTAACAAGACATTAATACAAGGTCTACATGAGCTGACGATAAAAAATAATAATAATAAAATATAATAATAATAATAATAATAATAATAATAAATAAAATAATAATAATAATAATAATAATAATAATAATAATAATAATAATAATAATAATATAAAAGATATGTATA